TTACACCTTCTCTCGACAAAGGGCTGAAATCCCACAGTACAATTTATCAAGAAACTCCAAGAGCTACGTTTCGTGTATATTTTAGTTATTAACTACTAACTATTATGTCCCAATTACCATTCATCGTCGTTTTAAACCAATTTCAATGAAAGTTTCATTTTTTGATATATTTTGGTCCTATGGACAAATTCTTCCGGAAGGGCTTGACGTTCTTGGGCGCATAAATATTTAACAAGATTAAATGGACATAGGAATTCTTGAATAGGAAACCGCGTAAAAGCCAATCATCACATTTACTTTCAAACTAACATCTTTATTTAATCCACTCTACGTCAAAAACATAATTCAAATAACCTTGGTACCATCTTTTAAAAGAATATTTACGAGTGGTTTTCAAGCTGTTTATAAACCTTGCTCTGAGTGAAATTAATGAAATCTTCATCTTAAATCATGCATGTTACCCAAAAACGTCACTGATGTATGCTACTTTTTAAGGGGGAAGGGGCAAACAACTTTCCTTATCATAACTGAGTCTTTGGGTAATTTGTACAGTGATTTATTGTTATTATTTGAAATAGCTGTTAGTCACGTTTGGTGCACTTATCTCACATCTGCACTGACAGTTCTTTTCTAATTTGGATGGCTACACAAAGGTCATCGCGTGGATGGCTCTGAACGCAACGCTAAGCTTAATCCGGATTCCTTTTTTTAAAACAATAGTTCTTCTCTCAGGTTTAGGTGAGATATTTCCACTCCGTCATCGGCATCGTTTGATTAAAAAAAAATATATTCAATAGCTTGTGGGTGAGATCCGTTGACGACATGGGAGATCTTTACAGTAAAACACACATTGAAATAAAGCCTCTTTACTCATTTTGATGAGTGGGATTTGCAACTCCCTCAAGGTTCTCTTATTACTAGTTCTCTCATTTATGTTCTCTTCAGAATGTTATACAGGATATCTTCCATGCAGTGGTCATTTTATAGGCAATATCTTGCCTAAACTGAAGTTCCCTTGTTTGTACTTTTTTCAAGCTCATACAGAATGCAAACCTTCGTTAAGAAACGATATAGAAACCAGGTTAAGTGTTTTCTGTAAGCATTCACTTTCTGTTCACCATTCACTGCCCCCCCCCCTCCTACCCCCGTCGGTCACTTAATTTTGTTAGATAAAGCTTATGGTCACTGCACTGTTGAAAATAAGAAAATCAAGCAGTTCTTAATAACAGTATCACACCCTTCCCAGTGCCGGCTTAAGATATTAATGAGAAGCCAATTTCAAGGTACAGAAGTATTCTAGTTCATAATAAGATTTGAAATTCCTCGTGCATGCTATCATTACCGTAGGTCGAGTGTCTCCTTTACTTTTCAAAATTTTATTAACAGCCAATAAACTGAGAAAAAAAACTTGAAAACTGAACAATGGAAAGCTTGGTTTCTTTGTTCATTATACTAATAATAAAAGGTACAAAGTTCATCAGTTTAATTCTGTAGTCGCCTAGTTATGCCTAGAGGACAAGTTTCAATTACAACAAAAGATAAACCTTTCATCACTTCTAACTCCTGCATAGGACTTGGGCGTCTAACACATGACTGAAAATCATCATGTAGAATATCATTTGACATGTTAAAATTACTTTACCACGAATCATATGCCTTGAGCAGTTCATATGACGGATTAATCGAGTATATAATATTAGACTCTCGCAATTCGAAAATTTTCAAATAATCCATTTTGAAACAATGATTCCCTCCCATAATAAGGAGCTGGTATCATTTGTAATCATTATGTCACACCTTTGAAAAGGCGAGTTCTGCCAATTCAGAGACGGACAGTCGAATGTGATATCCTTACAGCCAAATCAAATCTTTTAGATAGGACAAATCGCCTTTTGGGAACCCGGCCATAGCCACATAACCACCATCTGCTCTCATGCACGCGTCATTGAAGTTCATATAACAATCGGATTTCGATTGTAAACTGGCTTGGATCCTATCACTGTTCACAGATAACATTTGTCAGTTGAAAAAGCTCTATAAGGTAAAACGCTGTTGATTTGCCAAGGTTAAACGGGTTTTAAAGATTTTTGCAGATTTAGCTAATAATAGATAGAATTTATGACTTTGCATCCAATTTACATCATAGTTAAGTCGTCTTTTTTGAAGTTTGGTGAAGAAATAAGAAGAGTATAGACTTCAATGTAAGCGTTGTTGTAACACTCTCTGGACGATTGTCTTGGCTGTGTTTCCAGCACATATGCTTATGTTAAGCCATCATGGCCAAGACGACACAAGAGGTTTAATGACAGAAGAAAGAGAGCTGATAAACAAAACCACATTTATCGCTTTTAGAATAGCATTTTCATTTTCATTTCAACACCAAAATCATTATATGATATCAGTTGATCGGAACAGTTTTTTAGTGAAGGATATACTAACGCAAGTAGATTTCCTGAGGTCTTTCAAGAACGAAACGCAAACCTAAAAGAAGCTATTACAGAAAGAATTTCGTCTTCAAAAAGCTGGCAAATTAACATTAAACCAATTATTCAATTAAACCAGGTCAAGAAATCATAATATCCCAGAGAGCAGCTGTGTGACTTAAAGACCTTATTTGCATTCTGTACAGTTGAAAGTCAAGGCACTGCCCATAAAGAGAAGGACAGGACTTAATACATACTTTGAATGGCTTGAAAGAGAAATCTTAAGCTCCTTAGCAAACCAATATTTTAGTCTAAGGTTTCCATTTCTTCTAGTAGTAACAGTATCACTCGCTTCACCTCAAAGGTGCACTCAATAGATAGAAAAGAAATTTTCTTTGTAGGATATTTATAACTTCATTTAGAAAACACATCGTATACGGCCTGTGACGTTAAAAGAGGCGAGTGTAGTGGACAGATTGTGTTATTTTGTCGAGTACCTGCTTACTAAGCAGGATGTAAGAGGACACTCAGTCTATTTTTATAGCTGAACACTATATAATTCAACATAAGACTTCTGACAGAACATCTACATGAAAGCTCTTCTTGTAAACGCACCATCTTCCTGAGGACTGCCATAGAAACTGCTCCATGGTAAGTGGTGCAACTGAAAAACACTCTGGAAGGCGAGGGGGGTAAGTAGGAAAACCGTATTCAAGATATGCACATGGAGGAAAAACATTAATCTTGAAATCTTTGCTGTTTGCATGTAATGTTAATGTTTAATCAGCCGGTCACGGGCGTCGAAACAACAGATTGAGGCCCAAATTTCTACGTATCTGTTCTTTCGTCATGGTAATCGGCATCAATGTCCGCTTGGTTTTTGTTTGTTTCATGTCCAAAGTGAAATTAGAAGTAGATTGGTCTTTTTTGGATCGTGTCCAGTTGTTAACGACTTCTTCCAATTTGACAGTTCTTGGGGACAATTTCAAGCCTTTCTAGCAAATTATATTCAATCAATAAAGGATTTGAAGTCGGTTAAGGTTTGTAACACAGTTTGCATCAACGTTTAAAGAAATTCTTTCTACAGAAAAGGTCTTTGTAAAGGTTGTGACGTACAAAACGACTTTGTCGATTGTCTGTTTTGCGCTGACCCCGGATGCGCCCATTTGCCCCTTGAACATATTCATCCGGGCATACAGGTTTGCCATGTTTTTTTCCTAAACTATTTAAGAAATCGGACACAACATTACTCATAGTGTTGTACTTTACAAAACTTAACGTTTATGAGCAGAAACTAAGTTAATCCGGAAACAAAGAAACATTCTTAACCAAGCTATTTATCGGCCACTAATAACAATTATTGCAACCGCATTCATGAACCGTTATCATGACATGATACAGGTAGTCTTAAAATTATGGAAAAAAGTAGTAAACTTTTCCTAAAACAGCAACAACGACAAAAAATGGGAAACACAGACCACCTAATCTGAGAAGACTGTCGGCTGAGAGACGAAACAAAGAGTTCGCAAACACAGCATGTTGTTTGTGGGGGTGTCTTGAATTAAGTATCAACACCTAGTTCTTGCATTTTTTAGATGCTAAATGAAACACATACTGGTTTTATTGTTGGTTAAAGCCCCAAACTGATTAACGAGTAATTCGGTATTTCAAGATCAACAAATGTCGTGGGGACCTCCTGCAAGGTTCCCCCTCTGTCGATGTGTCCGAGTCGGCCGTCGCCAAGTCATCAAAAAAATTATGGAGATCAGGCGGGAGACTCGAAGCAATTTTTTCAACCTCGATTCTGACGCGTACCAAATTGAAACCTGACTTAAAAGTTACGAAACCGCTCAAGAACAACAAAACACCTTTCTTAACTGGATTATGATCTGTCTAAGCTCATTAAAAATCGTGAGGATTCTACTCAAGCGTGCTCGTCAGTTTGCCTTTGACATTTATTCTTCAACAGAACTAGTTTGTTAGTCGTTCAAACACCTATCGAAAAGTGCATACAGATACTTATGAATACTCGACGTCCCCGTGGGTTTATTTGTTAATTATTTTGTCCGTGTCATAACAGTGCCACGAGATACCGCGAGGGATCATAAGATAAGCTTGTTATACTACCCCCTACATAGAGAAAGGTCAATCCAAAAGCACCGAGTAAAAGGATAAGATGTCAAAACAGATTTAAATGGGAAGTATTTTTTTTGGATTAGTCGCCAGTTTACCATTGCCATGGAATCAGTTCTATAATTTTTCCGTTTTATGTTCACTCGAGGCTTAAAATAGCTTTCGACACGATCATGGGAAAACCAAGTTCAACTTCCTTATCTATGTAAAATCGGCAACTCAGTTTGTGGTATCAACCATTCATTAACTTACTGAGTCCATTAAAACCCTTTTCCATCGTATCTCCCACCGGTCGAAAGAGTTCGTGATAAATACCGTTAATCAGCTCTAAAGGATAAGTAGCTGTTTTTATGGCAGAGACCCAAGTAACCAGTTGCCCACTAACGGAAATTCCCCACAGTACTGCAAATCTATGACCTTGTTTTTCAATCTTTCCTCCTCCCAGCTGAATCAACGCAGAAGAAATTCATCCAACAAAGTTTTAAAGAAAAATCGTTGATCTCGGGATCAAAACCTACAAAAAGGTAGGGGTATTAATACTTTAGCGTTAATTAATTCATCAACGTTGTCTTCTTTTAATAGAATTCAATCTTCCGGACCTTCAGTTACGGCCAGTTAGGAAGTTAGGAAAAGTTTGCACAGGATGGGACACATTCATGGATAGCACACACCGTGGGAGAATAGTATATTCGTGTGGGGTACGCTTAAGCTACAAATGAAAACAGGGAAGTCAATTAAATGACTTATTATGATGAGAAAAATTTCCGGCTTTTCTATCCTTGCCCACAGAGTCCGCGCTTAAAAGCTAGTTAAATAAATATGCGAAGTCGCGAAATAACAGCGTCAATCCATGATTTAGTCTCCGGCTCAGTATTTGTTAACTTTTAGCTCTCAATTTTTGAGTTTTTGTCTAATTCAGGCCGAATTTCTTTGAGTTGAACCATGTCAAAAACTCGCAGTGTTAATACATCTACTCCACCGTTCCCTGAAAGGAAAAGATACTGTCAGTAGTTTTGATGAGTTGTTTAATAAGCTCTTGACGTGTTTCGGTCACGTACAAGTCTTCATCGCTGCTATTCCTATTAGGGGCTGAGCTACGTAAGCTGCTTTTTTGGACTGCTCAGCTGCCAGAAATTCAAATTTATCTCTTTCTGCGCGTTCTTTAACTGACCTGGTGAAATTTCATAAACCATCCACTTAACCATCGCTTCAATGCACGCGACGCCAATTCTTAAAAACTACATAATTGAATGCGCAAGCACGGTGTATCTGAGAGGCGAAACGCTGCCGGAAGTCGACTCTCCCTTTCCCTGGAAGTCGTTTCAAGTTATTTATATTCAGCCAAAACGTAGGCTTTCCATATATTTACTTGATGAAAAGAAAAACTACTCTAAGCAGTTTCATTTGCATTTTGACTCAAGAAACTCCTCTGCTGACCTAATTTCTCTAAAGAAGAAAAACTGGGAAAGACACAGCCGTGTTTGACGCATGAAAGTTCTGTATGTAATATTTGTCGATATCCCACTAAACTGAAGAGCGATGAAAATGCATGTAGCGAGTGCATACCATAACTGGCGAATGTTTCTACCTTTATGGACATTATAAATCTAGGTAAAGCTGTTCAAACATACATGGTTTTGAACCGAAATTTTGACTAAAGTGAACTTATGAAAACTGACCATTTCACACAGCTTGAAATTCCTTACTGCTTTTTTGTCAGAGGATCCAAAACCGTGCCCAAGAAATCATGATCATAGTCTAGTATTGGCATCAAATTACTAGATCAATTCTGTCTTACTCACGATAGACCGTATTTTTACTACAAAAGAAAAGGAATACTTAAGCATTGGCACATGTCCTTCTGATATAAAAGGATCTTAAAATGGTGATTATCACCCAAGTAGAAAGTTTTATTCGATGGGCGGACGGAATATTTAATGAAGACATGTGATTTTGTTGGGAGAAGAGAAATGCTGTGACCTTCCCGGCGCTTCACGTGTAAATTTCCCGACAGTGGGTGTTATTTGTTTACTGTCGTTAATTGATGACCAAAATTAACCAGCCCGAAAATGAAACAAGAATACGGAAATTGGAAATATCCACCAAAGCCCTTATCTGGTGATCCCTAAGAAATAGATTTACTTGAGGAAAACAAACAAGTCTCTATAAGCCCATCAGCTTGTGTATCCGCTTTTTAGTATACACATAAGATTAGAAATATTAGGCCGTCTGAACATACCTTTAATCACTTAGAAAATGTCGTGAAAATTTTTGCGTAGAAGAAATATCTGCTCTTTGGAGGCTAATGTAATACAATATCTTGATGATTTTATATCAGTGAAAGCAGCTATGTTCTTGAAGTAAAACCTTAATTTAGCGCCCAAACTTTTTAGCGGCACCAGCATATATTTTTTATAGAGAGCAACAAAATCTGAAACCCAAACCACAGGTATGTCATCTTTGGGTGCTGCCTAATCATACCTCGTGGTATATCTCAAAAGGGACTCTTCAGAGTCGGGAATAAACAAGAAACCGTTATGATAAGGAAAAAAACTAGCAACTTTAACACGGCTAAGTATTTGATCTCGAAAAGAGACTGAAAGAATTCAGTCAGAAATGTTTTCACGGGGCAATAAAATTCGACGCAGTCGAGTTAATCCTTGTATAAAGCCCATAAGATAGATTGTAGAGATAAGGAAATTCTGGAAGCCTGATCTGGACAGCCGCCGACTGAAAGACTCTCTCTCCTAGTCTCGGTACATTAAAGAGGCGGTAAGTTTTTTTTTGCGGCGATGTCCGCGGAGAGCGGATTTAAAGTATTGCGTTTGACGAAAAACGAAAAAGCTCAGATTGTTGTTGATTCAGTTTACGTTATTCGCAGATTATAGAATTTATCGATAAGAAAATTTCTCGCCCTACTCAAAACCAAAAGATTGTACAAAGTAAACTCCTCTCTTCCTCTTTAGCTGTTCACGAAAAGAAAATGCTAATACAATCAAATGCAATGATAAAGGTGAAGCTTGATTTTCACCGAGAAAAAAAAAGTAGAAACTCGCCAATAAGACTCTTATCATGATATTAAGTATTTCTTTGAGATAATATTGACTTTCAGTAAAGACATTTATTTTTTGCGATAACATTAAGGCAAAAGAACCTTTGTCAAGGATTACCGAATCTGATCTTGCTCCGTATCGGAAATAAGGCTCAAAATAACTTGGCCGTCATTGAAAGTGTAGGTACATCACTTACATAGATCTTTTAATGATCGCTATGCAGTTTCGAGAACATCAAGTTGAATCGGAACAATCAAACCTTTATAAGTTTCAGTGCAATTCAGCCATGATTGGCATTCAGCTCGAAGCAACCTCAAAATCGGTCAATGAAAAAATACAAACTGTGATCTTCACAGGACCCACCTACCACGGACCACAGATTTTAAAGATGTAAGAATATAAGAAGAACTATGAAATAACAATTCCAACCATTTTCTATGCAGTACAGCTTTCAAGATTTTTCCAATTTTCCTTTCTTTATGTATGGTAAAAAGGTATTGATCCCTTCCCCAACGTGTTGCATTAAAATGCTTGAAGATTGGTTTTTGGGGCATGTTTAAAGAGCGAAACTTGGCATTAACTTATGGATCGGATAAATTCCCTATAAGTGTTCCAAAAGATGTTGGTCCTTTACTTTAGACATGTTTACTCATACCTGTTGATATCATCACCTATTCAAATGCTCCACACAATGAAGGATTATTTTGTTTTTCAATCGTCTAAAGCTCTAAGACAAGACAGCCACATTCGACATATTCCGGTTACGAATTCCTGTAAATCTCATGGGAATTTAAGGTCAGAAGACAGCTTGCTCACGCTAAAAATATTTCAAAACTGCACAAGAAAGAAGATTACTATTTCCCTATCGCATTATGACTCAAACTGTAGTAAGATTAAAAGTTGAAGCTTGAATGATTTTAAAAACTGTTGGTCTCAATGAGGAAAAAGTCGTGAATAGGAAAATAACTTTCAAGAAATAATGAGAAGATGCTAGTGCCGCTCATTAGTGAAAAATTATTATTACTGTTTTGTTCCTTTTGTTTGTATTCCAACGTAAATCTTTAGTTACAAAGAAAATGTTAAACAAAAAATGTTTTCATTAATTATGTGACTTTATTTTGAGGGTTCCTTTTTTTAAACATCCCAATGCCTTCAGCTGTAAAAGTATAATTTCTAAACAAGCTTTTACCCATTTCAGTTTCCTTTAAAAGACCACGCGTCTGGTTCGTAATTTATTGACAAGTTTTCTTGACGACCTTGAACGGTCTCTTGAGTGACACATGTACGTCACAATCACGCCAAACTAGAGTGGGGCACAGGCTAAACCTTAAGTCATCGTTATACATGTAATTTGAATAGCTGGTGTTTAACTGGTGGAGTTACTTCTTTTTATTTTTACGTAAATTCAAGTCCATGAAATTGAGATTGGAAGGGTGGCTGGAACAAGTACACCGTACATCTCATGAAGTAACTGGTTCACATCAGGAAAATTCGGATCGTAATTGTTCCAATATCATTCTATTCTCATAAATGAAAAGTTTTGTGCAAGGTAGGGGAACCTATAACAGATCCCATACAGATATTTTTAGGCAAGATCTAAAGCACAAGTGATGAAGGTAATTTGACTGCTGACCTACGTTCACCCCTTTGGGATTGCGGGAGCGTGCTACTGAACTCGCTCTTGCCGTAAGTTGTGATGCATATTTCACCTTTTTTTTTCTTCCATTTGGAAAGTTGAAAGCTTTGACAACTCTCCCATAAAGAGTTTTTTGGTGCTTTTTTCTGCTTTGTATAAGGATCATATTAGCCGAAAGTATAGTTTGCGATTTTTAAATAGTTTTACTTAAAAGGAATATGAGCAAACTGTGGGTTCAGATTGAAACACCACGACAACAACAAAAAGAAATGCTCAAAGCAGTAACAGGGAATGAAGTCTGCAAAGGAATATTCTGGCTATAAGGCTACTTATAAAAATCGCTTGATTTGATGGTTGAGGAATTGAATTTCTTCCTTCCTTCGGCCGTAGAGTCACACAGTTGTACGACGACATCAGCGCACTGCCATTTTCAATAAACTTAGGAAGTATGTCCCAATGCTAGGGAATGAAAATTAAATAGGGATCAGTGAAATTAATCGGAACTGCTCATGTAGGCAAAGAATGAGCGAAATCTGGCTGTAGTCAGGCGAATGATAATTACCTAGTAAATGTGGCAGGTGTTTCTATTATCAGTTTGGATTTCATGCATTGCGATCAATTGTGTTCAATATGAAATAACTTGCATTATTTTTGGATTGTTTGCATTCTTTAGGAAAGTGTGCTATCTGTGTATCGCTTTTTCTATACAGTGATTTGTCTCTTAATTAACTTCGGAGCAGGAGCGGTTAATATGGTATTTATTGCATACTTGGATGATACCTCTTACCGTATTAAAGTTGAGATTTAGTTAAGAGTTTTAAGGCGTGTTACTTTGCTACCATCGATAAGAGACATTGAGTGTCCACACTTCTGCACTTTGTCACAGCCAAGAATAAAGTATCACAAAACAGCTCGCTCGGAAGTCATGAGGAAAAAAATAATAACTTCTCACAGCTGTATTTGTCGAGTTTGTGTAAAGAGTCGGCTATCGAGATTCGCAAACAACACCGCTTCTAAACAAAGAACCGCACGCAAGCGGAAAGCCATATTCTTGTCGCACGCACAGACCGCAACATAAGCTATTTTTGTTTCCTGATTGGGTTTGAAGATTAATGACATGTATGAGCCACGTGACCTAAGCTCTGATGAGCCCGTTGCGATGAAATATAACGCGTGTTACTTGTCCACTGTTGCAGATAGACCACCACTGTTCCTGAGTAACACGTCATTGAAAGCCAAGGCTGAAACATATTCCAATGGATATCTTAAGGGGCCTCCTGTTTATCATTGCTCTGCATCACTCCACATTCTACACCCATGCTGATCAGACATCAATCAAGGTAATAATCATCGTTGTTCTATTTTTCGACCAGAACGGTTTGTTGTCTTACTTCTTTCTTAGTGCACGAGCAAAGGCCTTAGTGACACGTGGATCAATAAGCATGCGTTAGTTGCTTAGTTTGAATTTTATTGCCCTCAGCTTGATGCAACTTTGGCAGATCTTGATGTTTGGGAGGAGAGAAAACAGATAACTATTCTAATCAATCAAATAATTATCGGCCTTTCCCAGTGAAAGCGATCATTAGATACGTAAAATACTACTTGTGACGACCCGATGTCAATTGTTTACAAGTGAACTAGGACTTGTGCCGTTTCACTTTTCCTTGAGCTATTGTAGACTTAGCATAGAGGGTCAACGGAATCATCTTCAAAAACCAATGGGGGAGACAGATTCTCTCTATTTCAGCGTTGTCATTCTTTTCCTGAAGGTCAAGATTCCATTAGACTTGTTAAACCGACGGGCGCGTAAAAGCAAAGAAATTTCTATTAGATTAGTGTTTATTATGCATATTAGCGTCGAGCAAAACAATGCAATAAAATGTTCTTTTCTTTTTGTTTGTTATCTGTGACAACAAAGGCCACAGACGTAAAACGATGTGATTTTAACAAATGAAGCAAACTAATGAAACCCAGCCATCGTTTTCGATAGTAGATCACAGATCCAAGTTGTGTAGGAAATGTAACCTGTACATTTAACTTTTGCAGAAAAATAAATCAGTTAACAAGCCTCATGGACGGCACGTGGCGAACAAGAGAGGGTGGTCTACATTATTTGACCCACACGGCGGGAACAGTTCATACCCAAACATTTCGACGACTGTCCATTTGAGACAAAATGTCTCTCAGACTGAGGCAACAATCGCATCTTTACATCCAGTAGAAACTATTCGAGGAGAAAAGAAAAGAAAACGAAGAAGGAAAAAGAACATGAAAAAGATGCTCAAGAAATTGCGAAGTGGAAGTCTCGTGGGGGTAAGATAATTATTCACAAATCTTAAGGATTGTTTACTCTCGTGGGACGTTTTTTGGTTAACCACATGTTTTGAGGCACAGCATGGGTAGTTTGTAACGTGTTTTCTCCATACACCTAAACAGACTACATCAGGGCCAAAGATCTGATTATAAGTGCTAGGTTCTTCATTATTGATCTCCTGTTGAGGCATTTCAAAATTAATTGCAAAAAAATGACACTTAATTGCCCCGGAATCTCCCGCGGCTAAAGTTGTTTTCCAAGAGTTAATTGCTCATTTTCAAGGTCGTTTGCTATCTTCTTCTCACTTAAATGTTATGGAAAATTTACCTTCATCGATCAGGATTCTACAACTATTCCAAGCAAGGTAATAACCCTACCAGCCAGCGGCGGCTAATGTACTATTTGATTGATGGCATGGTCTCTACGCTCTTTTCATGGGTCATTTCACCGACTGAATAAGAGGGGGTCAAAATCCTTCTTGATAACTCGTCTTGACCACCTGTGCTACGCACGCCTTTAGATACAAAATACCTCTACAAATCATATACTTTTGATCATCCGAGAGCCAAATTTATGATTCTTAAAGAAAAGAGAAAGAGCCTCGAAAGATAATTTCCTCTCTAATAAAAACACTCCATTCCAATGAAAACATTCAACGATATTAGTAAATTAAGCTCGCCGTTGGTGGCGCGCTTAAATATCTCTCGAGATATAAATAGACTTGCTTAACTGAAGGAAGAAGGTCGGTACTTTTTCTATGGAGGCTTGAGGCATGAACGGAGTCTGCTATTGTCGTGAGACTAAAGTAAAAGAACTTGGATGCAATGCAATTGAAGATCTGACGAAGTATATTTTCTGATTGGTTGCGTAGGATAATTGAATAACAAAAGGAACAGAATGCAAATGATAATAAATAAATGAGGGAAAATCATTTTACATAACACGTACTTGTTTTTTTTTAGAGAGAGCAGTTTTTCCAGTTACCGGTCCATGGCTTAATGTGGGGCTATTTTAATTTTTTTGCTTTCGTTTCATTTTTAAATTGAAACATTTACATATCACTAAATTTGATTGTGCTCTAATTGAAACTGCAGCAACACAGCCGATTTACGACCCACGCGAAAGAAAACATACTGACATTAATCTGAAAATAGACCCATTATCCCAGGTCCAGGTCCAAGGTTCAGTTCTTACAGAAAACAAACAATATCATCCAAACGGCTCCTTGCAAGATTTCTCACAAGAAATGAGGAAAATTTTTTATTTTTTCAATCGATTAAACGCTTTTCAACTGTACCAGCATGTTTTCTATTGAAGGGCGCAATTTCACAACTCGCCAGCGATTAGCGACTGAATATAAGCCATTAATTATTTCCGGTTCTGTTAGGTGTAAATAACCTACAGACACGAGGTTAGAGATAACATAAGAACTTGTTAATTTGTTAACCTATTGTAAATTGGTGAGGCGTGGAAAAAGGTCAGAGCATTTTATGGGCCCAACGGAAAGAAACGCCCTCAGAAATCAATCTTCATGGATGGTATTCGGACTTGATAATTGATATTTCTGGAGTGGATAAACACAAACAAAATAATAGCGCTGTTGATTTTAAACCATATCACTCTTCCTATATTCGAATGTTGTCGGCCACTTCAAAGCAAATAAATTTTGCGTACCCTATAGATTCACGTGGGTCGCGGGAGACACTTGGATTTCACGAGTGAGAGACCAAAATACCTTTTAGACTATTTTGGAAAAGAAAAAGAGAAAGAGAAAAAAGAAGCTTAATGTGTACTCTGGATTAGTCATCTATGATATCTCTTCGCCGATTAGTTTATTTCATCAAAGGGCAGAACCTTGATGAACACAATGCGTGGGTCTTGCAGCGGTAATTAGTACGTGGGTGTGTTGAGGTTAGACGACTCGAGCGAAATATATCGTTTTCGACTCCTGAGACAGTCATTAGAATATTTTTTTGACATCTTCAATACTTTCAAATATACCAAATGCACAAGGAACTCTTTCTACGCTTTTATAGTTTTCTAACTGAAGTAACCACTTTGGAATTATGATTAACCTTGCACACGTTGGCACTGAGCCCAGGAGATGACTGACCCTCTGACAAGTGCGTGGGCGACACAAAACCGACAGCTGCAGTATGCTCTTTACGTTATTTTATAACGCTGAAGAGGCGGCTTGTCAGTCATATTTAGCTTCTTTAAGATTCAGAACTTTGCAGTTCAATACTTGGGGAAAATATTGCCGAATATTGTATCAAAATGCAAAATACAAGAGAAACCAAGAGGACAAAAACTTTTGAGCATTTTGATCCAGAGATCCATTTTAATCTTCCTTTTATCTGCTTTGCGTACTAACCTTAATCTCTTTGAGCTTTCAAAATAACATGGATTTGATGTAATTACTAAATAAGAGCTTGATATTTTTATCTTCTAAAATAGTTGTCTTTTGATTACCCAGCGATCTGTGGGTAAAATGCTTAGTGTGCGTAACACAACATGCATGCATAGTGATGTTCAAGAGTCACTTGCAAAGAACCACTTCAGATCGATTTATAAAAAAAATTGAAAATATTGATCGAGTCTTTATTTCTAACGATGAACCCTTGTGGAAGTGGAACAATCGTTATTTCAACTAGAAATCATCCCTTACATTATGCACGATGATCGTTTAATTTTCCCCCTTATATTATTTAAGATTTAAATCAAAACAAACGAGTTCTGCTCTGACAAAGGGCTAACGCTCGAAACGTCAGCTTTGAAACTCTTAACGGTAGCCAATTTACGTTATCAACTCAGTCGATAGCAAATTTCCCTGCTATACTCTCCCACCGACGCAGCACCAGAGTTTCTCTAGAAAATTACCCCCTTTTTATGATTTTCCATGGTGATTCCCGGCTTCAGAAAATTGTTCTTGTAGACGATATTGACTAGTTTAAACTTCACCTGTAAAGGTCATCTTCGTTCTGGTGACGCCTGGGTCCATGTATAACTAGCATTTTTAAAGTGATAACGTGACACCCTTTTTTTCATGCTTACCGCTGATTCTGGTTGATGCGAATATCCAAAGAATCAAGCTTCGAGATCCAAAAGGAATGTTGAATCCCGTAAATTAAAAAATAGAACTTCTAAAAGAATAGTACAGTATGCGCCAGATTTTCCTTTTTACTAGTTATTAATGATTTATCTATATGCAAATGTTTATTCTTTAAATCACGTGGTCATGCGTGGGAGATGTGAAGTGCATCAACATGAGTTACGGTTTAACAGTGAAACCTGTCAGAACAAACCATGACAACTGGAGTGGATTACTGAGTAGTGACCCTTGACACGTTGAATAATTTGATCAGAGTCCTCTTCAAGACATTTTGATAGGCACATTTGTTTGCTCTGCTGCCAACTTGTATGTTCGTTACATTTAAATTGATTTCTCAAGAAGAGCATGTACTCAAGTACTTTGATATTCAACATCAATATGATCTTTATTACTACTTTCGCAGCACAAAGAATCGCCTTCTACGAAGAGAAAATGTAGAAACTGGAGCCAATGCAAGAAAGACGAGTGTTGTATAAGATATAGTGTCAATAGAGGATTCTGTAAGCGAAGACCCCAAAAGGGACAAAGATGCAAGCCTGTTCTTTTGGTAAGATAACTGTTGATAGTAATGTTTAGACCTCTTTCTGATTAAATTTACTGTAAAACCAAGCCCTCAACTGATCAAAATAGCCCAGTACAATAAAGCTACCAAGTAGAGATCAGTCTAAGCTTCGCCTCTACTTGGCCCAAATAGAGAAAGTGGTTAGAGTTTGCCAAACCATTTACAAAGCGTGGTAAAGCAAAACCAATGTAATCCATATGCCATATCCATATTCCATATTCTAGAATACTAAATACGTAGTTGACCAGATTTTCCTTATGTTAATTCAGCCTGGTCTGAGAGATTGTCCATGCGACGAAGGTCTAACCTGCACCCGTTACAGAACGACGAAATGGGGTCAGAAAAAACACAGATGTGAACGTTTAAGAATTAGTGAGGAAGAGGAAAAAGAGCAAAGGTATTCTACTGGATTAAACAAGAGAACTAACAAACGAAATACGAAATAAGTTCAAAGTGACTTTTCAAGTGGAACCGAGTACAGGCCTGATGGAAATGCATCAAGATGAAATGTACCAGATAAAGAGTTAAACTTAACCACTGAACCAGTCCCGCCATAATTACGAGGTGGCCTTCATTACCTTCAGCGTTTTCATTGATGACCTTGAAAATAGCAAAGAAAGAAGAACTACTCCAAATTAGCCACATTGCATGTTGCTCTGTTCCCTCCCATGCAAAATACTTGCAAGTAGCTTAAGTAAGTTACTGTTTTACCACAGATCGATTCATTTGGCTGCGACGTAGAAACTGGCTTTAGATAAATGGAAACCTAAAAGATTTTGGTTTTCCAGTGCAGCTTAAGACCGAAGAAGTAAGACCAGACCAAAGTGTAGCTAGAGTGATAAGGGTTGACGAAGATTAACACGCATTACTAACAATGAACACGACAAATTTAAGAATAAAAGTTCTGTTCTTCTACGTAAACTATAACAGCCGGCCCCTAGAGGTCACCAAATGCCAGTCGATTGACTACTTTATTGAACATTTGAATGATCTCATGTGTTATTGAACTTCTAGTTTTCACAAAAGGTTGGCGAAAACTAAGAAACGTAAATTATATTTTCTACTGCGTTGACGTTAAATGGTTATGAAACTTTTTGAAATTATGATGGATGCCTGCTATCTAACTTGAAATGATTGCTGAATTTATAGGTACTTGAACGGAGAAAATTTCGGTTATATCGAAATCAGCAAATTTACCGAAGTATTTTCAGGATTGTGCTGCGCAACGAGCATTCGCTAACGAATTAAGAAAACCTTAATAATTAACAATGAAAAGAAAAAGGCAGGAAAATACGAAAATGATGAGAACTGTGAAAACTGAAAATCTCGCTTAGAGCTTTCAAAGTTGTGAGATTTGCGATCAATCCTGGACATACCTCTAAAAATAGGACGTAAAAGATCTTGAATGGGTAGACTCATTGAAATTCGTTTTAATCGATGTGGTCTTTTTCTCTGCTCTCGTGACCTTGGTGACGAAGCCAAACCTAGGCTACGAAGACCGAAACCGATTCAGCAGGTCTCCGTGAATCTCGACCACTTTTATCGCGAGAATGTTTTGACGACCCTTTATTCGCAAGGGGTGTTATTCATTCAACAGGTACTTACGTACAACATATTTATCATGTACCAAGTTGATCACAGGCACAAACGATATTAAGATGATATGTTAAGAAAGAAATGAGTTTCAAGTACGCTTGGTAAAGCTGTGTGATAGACATGGAAATCAATTGGGTTATTAATAAGCCACGACTGAGAGCTGGGGTTTTTTATTTGTTTTGCTTTTGATCATATATGCGAGAACAATTGTAGTCTAACAGCAATTGTAATTGGTGGCTGTAAATATAGAATAAAAACTGTAACGTAAATTGTTCAGTAGCTTGGCTTCCATCGACAAACCTGGACTTTGGATTACAAGAGTAAGCAAACTAAGAAGAGAAAATGACATATTGTTGCTAGTAGAAGCATGAAAATGGCGCATGTGAACCTGGTTTGTTTGGGCAGTGATCTTAACTGAAAAGTGAGCTTGGAAAACAGTAATGTATGCGATACTTAGGGACCAGTTTTGCCAGGGGAAATAACACATAGAATAAAAGCACTTGGTAAACTCACATAGACACTGTGCAAATGTTACTGAAGTTATGATTCCTACATCGGGCAATTGACCACTGTGTGGTCGGCAACCGACCTCAGTAAAAGAAATAATTATTTATTGCAAGTTGCTAGTCCAAGGTAATAAAACAAAATTTAACAAAGTTATTGTCTTTATT